TCATTTCCTTTCTACAAACCACAATTAAGAGGTAAAACTGGCTGGGCACCCAAATCTCAGTGGTTAGGGCGCCAGCCACATGCTCTGGGGCTGGTGAGTTCAAACCTGACCCAGGCCTGCTAAACAAACAAACAAAAAAATAGCTAGGCGTTATGGTGGATGCCTGTAGTCCCAGCTACTAGGGAGTCTGAAGTGAGAGAATCGCCTCAGCCCGAGAGTTTGAGGTTGTTGTAATGCCATGGCACTCTACCAAGGGTGACAAAGTGACTGTCTCAATAAAAAACAAACAAACAAACAAACAAAAAAAAACAGAGAGAAAGGTAAAACTTATTAGTACAAAGAAGGAAACAAAATTGGGGTTGCCTTGCATGTGGTCACATGAAAAGCAGAGGTGTAACTCAAACCTACTGTCATCCTAGCCTTTTCCATAAACAAAATGCTTTCATTTAACTGGACGTGAACATGTCTGATAGTCATAACATACACAAAGAGGTAAGAGATAACAGTCCTATAAAACTCATGATGTCATGACAATACGGTAGTCTATGGGGCTTCTGTTTGCATATGAAAGTCTTTCAGAAAGATTTCTCTTTGCTATTCTATGTTCTGATTTATACCTTATTCCTCCTAGTGACACTTCCCCCATTCTTAACCTTAAAATCATATTGTGAAATCTCTTAAGTCATTTTAGATTATTTTAAGAATAAACTGAGGTCTAGATTCAGAATTACTTTGATGTACCTTTTATAATTGCAAAAAAGTAAATAAAGTTAGGGATAGTTTCCCCCAACTTCTGAATAGATACCAAAAAGTTCTGCTCATCTGGGGTGGTGCCTGTGGCTCAAAGGAGTAGGGCACCAGCTCCATATGCTAGAAGTAGGAGGTTCAGGCCCAGCCCTGGCCAAAAACTGCAAAAAAGAAAAAAAAAAAAAAGTTTTGCTCATCTAAATTTAAATAAAGATTATTCAAATCTTTATTTATTTAAATAAATACAGAGGCAGAAAGATAGCAGAAAAGGGGAAAACAAAAAACAGTCCAGGCTCGGCGCCTGTGGCTCAAGTGGCAAAGCCGCCAGCCATATACACGTGAGGTGGTGGGTTCGAATCCAGCTAGGGTCCACCAAACAATGACGGCTGCAACCAAAAAATAGCCGTGTGTTGTGGCAGGTGCCTGTAGTCCCAGCTACTTGGGAGGCAGAGGCAGGAGACTCGCTTGAGCCCAGGAGTTGGAGGTTGCTGTGAGCTGTGATGCCATGGCACTCTACCCAGAGGGATAGCTTGAGGCTCTGTCTCAAAAAATAAAATAAAATAAAATAAAATATAAAGAGATCACAGAACTGCTTTAAAATACAAAGAAAATTTTATTTGTGTTATCAAAGACTCTAAGAAATGATGACATAATATGGTTAACAGAGTTGATGGTAAGACACAAATAGGTTCTTTTAAAAGTTATAGATAATTAATCACTTTGTTTCATTCAACCGTCCCTGGATTATGTATACCAGAGAGCATCTCTGGTATACTCCCAACTGAACCATAAGCATGATGTGTCCAGGTGATACAATTATGAATCCTTTCTTTAGTCCTGATTATCTTTCTTTTTTTTCTTTTTCTTCTTTTTCTCTGGACTCTGGAAATAACAAACAAGAATGCTATTCAAAGAGCTGTAATTACAGGGCTAAGAATTTTTCCCTACAAAATGCAAAACAATTTTCCTTGAAGACATACCTGGTACAAAGATTTTTAAAATATAAGACATAAAAACCACACCTGTAAAAGTGAGCTTTAACAAATCATATTCTAAGATTCTAGATTTGGGCAATGGCTTTTTATGGTGGGCACTGGGGGGCTGAGGCAAGAGCATCACTTGAACCCAAGAGTTTGAGGTTGCTATGAGCTAAAACACCATGGCACCCTACCAAGGGTGATCAAGTGAGACTCTGTCACAATAAAAAGAAAAGAAAAGAAAAGAAAAAAGCTGTGTAGTGGTTTACGCGTGTAATTCTAGTACCCTGGGAGGCCAAGGCGGGCGGATTACTTGAGCTCATTGAGTTTGAGACCAGCTTGAGCAAAAGAAAAACTAAAAACAGAAAAATGGAGGCAGGAGGATTGCTTGAGTCAGAGTAGGAGGTTGCCCTGAGGTATGATGCCATGGCACTCTACCCAGGGCAAAGGCTTGAGATTCTGTCTCAAAACAAACAAAAAACCTACTCATGGGCAATGCCTGTACCCAGCCCTGGCCAAAAACCGCAAAAACAAAACAGCAACAACAACAAAAACCTACTCATTTATGGCCAGGCATGGTGGCTCACACCTGTAATCCTAGCACTTTGAGAGGCTGAGTGGATTGATTGAGCATGCAGATTCAAGACCACCCTGAGCAAGACTCCGTCTCTAAAAATAGCTGGGCATTGTGGCTGGTGCCTATAGTCCCAGCTACTTGGGAGGCTAAGGCAAGAAATTCGCTTAAGTCCAAAAGTTTGAGGTTGCTATGAGCTATGGCACCAGGGTGAAAGTGAGACTCTGTCTCTAACAAACAAGAAAAGCCTACTCATTTCTGCTGCAAAGAATAGATTAAAAAATGAAGATCCTGCCCATGCCAAAAGAGAACTACTATTTACAAAGAGACATACAGGAATTGCTGTGCTGGTACATGGCTCTTCCTCAGAAAGTGGTTCTTCCTTAATGTGTTTCTTTTTGTCCTTTTTCTTCTTCTTCTTCATAGATGTCTCCTCCTCTTCTACCACTTCTTCTTCTTCCTCCTCTTCAACTAAAAAGGCGGCAAGCATAAAGGCATAATCAGTTAACACTGTATCAATCTCATTCCTTCCCAAAACATCATTTTTGAGTCCATTTTATCTGTCACTAACACCAGCTATCCATGTTTATTATGTTCATTTTATAACTTGAAAGGTCCTTCAAGGCCTACATTATCCAAAACCATTAACTTTACATGTGATATCAAGCTCAGAGAGAAATAATTGAATATTCTCACACAAAGAGGTACAGAAATCATGATTAAAAACAAAGACCATTTGCTCTCCAGCTTTTTCTGGGAAAAGAATCTATTATATCAGAAATGGTTAAGAACTTGTGGTCTGAAGTCAGATGACTAAGTATAATGCTTAGAATAGGGACTCAACAGGTTAACTATCATTAGAAATTAATTGACCAAATACTTAGTACCAACTATATAGGCTGGATCCTACTGTTAATAATTAGAGACTACAAGGCACAAAACAGATAAAAATGAAAAACCTCTGCTGTTATCAATCTTATTTATTTATTTTTAGTGAGAGTTGAACATAAAATGACACATTATATAACACACAATAATCCAAGCTAGGAAGAATAATCTTAGAAAGGGAGACTATATATGGACA